AGCTATCAGGTTGGTTTGACATGATTTATTTTTGACAAATCCATGCTCACTGTTACTTATCAGCTTATTATCTTCTAGATGTTTACAAATTGATTGCTTAATTATTTGCGCCATTATCTTTCTGGGTACAGAAGTTAAGCTGACTGGTCTAATTCTCTGGGTTGTCCTTATTTCCCTTTTTATAGATTTGCACTATATTTGCCCCTTTCCAGTCTTCTGGAATCTCTCCCGTCTTCCATGACTTTTCAAAGATAATAGCTAATGGCTCAGATATCTCCTCAGTCAGCTCCTTGAGTATTTCAGGATGCATTTCATCAGGTCCAAACTTGTCCAAGTAATTTTTAACTTGTCCTTTCCCTATTTTAGCCTCTTCTGATCCTACCTCATTTTCACTGGCATGAACTACGTTAGACGTCCAGGCACTACCAACCTTCTTGGTGAAAACCGAAATGAAGTCATTAAGCACCTCTGCCATTTCCCCATTTTCTGTTGTTGTTTCCCCCCCTTATTGAGTAACGGGCCTGCCCCGTCCTTGGTCTTCCTTTTGCTTCTAATGTATTTGTAGAATGTTTACTTGTTACCCTTTATATCTTTAGATAGTTTGATCTAGTTTGTGCCCTGGCCTTTCTAATTTTGTCCCTACATACTTGTGTTAATTGTTTATATTCATACTTTGTAATTTGACCTAGTTTCCATTTTTTGTAGGACTCTTTTTTTTTTTTTTTTGAACATCCAGAACAAATCCTGCAATGGTAATAATCCTGCCTAACCACCTATATGTGAGGATTATCTATCTTCCTCCTGTTAGGACTGAGTCATGGTCTATTTTTGAGCCCTTCTGCACAGCTGATCTATAGATTGCTTGTTTGGGCTGAGGTTAAGTGGCCACAAGTGGCACCAATTTCTGCAGGCTCTCTTAGGGGCTCGGAAAATCTAAACATAGAAGCTCATGAGTAAAAATAAGGTAATGAAAGAAGGCTGGTGTGATCACAGTGTATCCAGTATCTCTGTAAGACACTTGGCCAGGAAGGTACTGCCAGAGAGATGCAGGGATTAGAAATTTAAAACAAAAGCTTCAGGCCTATCATGGGTCAGATCAAATGACACAGTAAGGGTTAATGGGGGGTATAAAAGAGAAATTATATCAATTAGTTTTCAAAAATCCCATCAGGCTTGCAAAAATCATTTTGAGAGACTCAGGGCCAGATCCTCAGACTTCAATGATGTGAAATTGATTTGCACCAGCTGAGGATCAGGCACCCAGCTTGAGATGCACTGGAGGAAATTTTGCAGGACTGATCCTTAAATGTGGTGAGAATCATGTCCTTTAGTTACTTTACCTTTGGTCAGCTGTTTGCTACCCAGGTTAATTGCCTCAAAATGTTATTTCGGGACTGCAAGAGGAAAAGAAAGAGCTGGATACATATTTTAAAATGATAAAATGTCAGCAGACTGCTAATATAACCTCTTCATTCTTTCTTTTTCTTCATGGTTTAATAAAGCATAGTTCCATGATGCTTAAAAAGCTAATGCTGGGGCTGAAGTGAAATTTACAAGTCATGGTCTTGTGTCTTTGCAAGTCTGTTTAACAGGTGTTAGCATAAAAACTGCCCAGATGGCTCCGATCCTCAGAGCAAAGCCAGTCTCTTAATAATTTCATTCTTCACCATTAGAGGACAAAGCCTTCGCTCTGCCCAGCTGGTAAATATATGCATCAAACTCCCTCAGTGGTTGTCATTAAAACATCACCACAGTTGCTTCAGAGTCATATTTGAGATATAACAATATTTCCTGCAGTATTTCAGACCCATAAAGTCCTAGACAAGCATTCAGGAAACTGAGCTTAGATAAATAACTGGCAACTTTGCTGTCAGGGTCAGAGGGGCTGAGGACCAAATGGGCATTGGAGACTGAACTATTCCTAGTAGTGGTTCCCCTGAGTAGATCACAATTAAGATACATTGGCAAAATACCATCAAGGAAGCTTGGAGAGCAGCTACTGTGCTGTTCCTGTTCTATGGATAAATAAAGGATTTCCCCTCTAAGAATGTCAGCCTAGCACGTTTAACAAATGTACCCTGCTTGTGGAATGAGAGGATGGTCATGCTTAATAGCTGATCCAGAGCCCACTGAGATCAATGCAAAGATTCCTGTTGATTCGCATAGGCTTTGAATCAAGTCTTTATTTCCAGTGTGCCTTCTGGATAGGTACGGTACATAAGCAAAGGTGTGCAAGGGACGTGTTTATTGCTGGTTGCTGGCTGGAGATTATTTTTCTGTGCATGGCCAGGCAACCTTGGGAACATTCTAACCCTGGTTATGTTTAAAAAAAACAAAACCTTTTGTCTCCAGGACTTGCAAAATCCCAGAGACAGGCACTAGGAGATGCTTTATTTTTCCAGGGGAAGACCATAAGCCTTGATGAAAAATGTTTGCATAATAGAGACAGGAAGCTTTAAAAGCAAGTCAGAAAACTGTCTGAATATGTTCAGTATCTCTCTTATATATTCAGTTTTAATCAGACTTTGTTGGCTGATGGGGGACAAGAGCGTCTGTTACTGTATATCTCCAGAATGCTGCAATCTAAGGAGACAAATGAATTATTTTAGCCATCCCAAGGTTATAGCAGCAGGAGCTCAGTGAAGAATATGTCTGCAGCAAGTAAATATCTTTATGCATCAGCCAATGAGAGTGTTCCTTCTGTGCATGTAGTTAGGTTTTGTTTGGCTTACAAGAGGAAAAAGCCATGCAATCCACTAATGTCCATTAATCTGCCGTGTGAGAGTTCTACTTTGGATACCTTGTTTTCCTCTAAGGGCCTAATTCTCTTTAGTTACAAATATATTCATGACTGCTGTTACCTTTGACACTCAGTTCCACACATTAATTACCCGCAGTGCTAAGGAATGTCTCCCAGAGGCTCAGCCCTTTCTTAGTTTCAGATCATAACCGCTTTTGGAAATTGCTGGTACCTCTGTAATAGCTCTGTCCCCTCCACCTTTCCTAGACCCTCAGAATTGTATCTGCACCTCTGCTGTGCCCTCCTTAATCTGCTCTTCGGTTGTGTTCATTAGATTAGCTTTCCTAACCGCCCAATATCTATTACCCCAGAGCCCCCTGCCTATGTAACAGACTAGGGCATACAGCCATGGTTGTGCCAGCTCTTCGTGCAGCATTACTTCTGCCTGGTGCTCTGTTCCTGCATTCTAATGCTGTTTGATTTCCAAGTTACTATAAGACACTGAGTTAACGGGATTAGGTTTCTGTCTAAACCCAGTTGTTGTTGTGGTGACTTGCAGTCTGGGACCATTAAAGTCGAGGCATCTCTTACCATTTCTCTTTACATTGGGCTACATTCCATTCCATGAGCTACTCACACCATAGTGCCTTGTTAGTCTGTTTCTTCTTTGCTGTGGGCTAGCCCTATGTGTGGAGTTCTTTGGGGGAGAGTATTCTGGAGTATATCATATCATAGGGTCACCTTTTCATGCTGCAAGAAAGGGGGCTCTTTGGCTTTCCTGAGGCAGGCTGGGAAAGCTAGAAGTCTGTCTGACATTCAGCACAGCCCCTGTCAGCCAGTCAGAGCGGCCCCTGCACAGCGGCATCAAGGACTGGATTTTCTGCTTAATGGAATCTCTTCAAATACTTGGTACCTGAGTCCTTGCCACAGGGCGGTGATGGGAATAGAGCTACAGCTGCGTAAGTGTTCGGAGTTGAGTGCCAGTTGACACTTTCCAGCGTTCCAGATCGGCTGTGACACAGATGATTTTGGAGCGGAATGGCGAGGGGAGATTGATTGGCTTCCCAAACCATGGGGAGATCTTTTAACTGGCCTTTGTTGGGAAGCAGTAATATTAAAAATAACCCCCCCACACACACAGTCCCAACCTTAACCTCTGTTCATGCCAGTGTTGGATAACAGAACCCAATGCATCAAGCCAGGGGGAGTGTTGGCTCACAATGTGCTTCTTCCTGGGCTTGCAAACATCTTTCCATGGCATGATTCGAGGCAGGTGGTGTTGGCTGAACAGAGGGGACAATCTCTTCATGGGAAATGCTGGTGCAATTTAGAGCTGAGTCAGTAGTGACTGGTTCGTGCACTCTCTCACACACACAGATTTTCTGCTGCATATGGTGTCCCTAGGAATGGTGTCCACATTTTAAAAGCCTTTCATGTCAAAGTGCCACATATCACACAGTCATGAGTGAAAGATCCACGATGCCATTCACAGAGCTGAACTCAAGACCTGAACTTGCTTTAATGATTTATTAAACCAGCAAACTGCACGGTCTTTGTCTTTCATTCTGGATTAGATTGCAAGCAATGTTTGTGCTGAATTAATTGTTCTCAAGAAATCAAGAGTCACCCAGTTTTGTAATGTTTCCTCTCCTTAATGATTGCAAAAGTGAAAAATCTGGGTTTTATTGCTTAGATGAACAAGAGTAAATTTTACTTTTCCCCATAGGACTTCACCATTATCTCAGATGTTTGTGCAAAAATGTTGAAATATTCTTACTTAAAGCTAATATTTGTTTATGATGCAGTTGATTTAAAGGCTTTAATTTATGTGATTCTGTTCCCAATCCTGCAAACACTTGCACATATGGTGTCCCAGGAATGGTGTCCGTAGCCTCCGTTTGCCAGAGGGTGGAGACGGATGGCAGGAGAGAGATCACTAGATCATTACCTGTTAGGTTCACTCCCTCTGGGGCACCTGATCTTGGCCACTGTCGGCAGACAGAATACTGGGCTGGAAGGACCTTTGGTCTGACCCAATATGGCCATTCTTATGTTCACATATGAGTAACCTTAAGCGTGTGAAAAGCTCCACTGAACTCAATCAATGGGACTGCTTACACACACAAGTGTTTATAGGATTGAGACTTATATATGTCAGCATTTAAAGCAATGAAAATACAGCTTGGATGTAACCATGTCACTAGTAAGTAACAAATGCCTAGGCCTTTTCAATTCACCTCTCCTGTCTTGGATTTTTTAGGTTGCATCAGGTGAATTTTGATGCTCCCACCTGCGAAGGCAAACGACGAGAAACGCTCTCGCTAATAGGGGACTTCTCTTCTTCTGCAGAATTCTTCGTCACTATCGCGGTCTTTGCTTTCCTCTATTCCTTGGCAGCCACTGTTGTTTACATTTTCTTCCAGAACAAATATCGTGAAAACAACAGGGGGCCTCTAATTGTAAGTGGAAATTTTCAGTGTCCTCAAATCTGTCTTTTTCTTGTTAGATTTTTGGTGCTTGTGTTTGTTGTCTTGTTGGAGAATTGATGAGTGTTCCACTTCCTTGTGCAGCTCTTGACTCTGATACTTTAATGTTGATTTAATCATTTGGGACCATGAGAATAGGGATGATGGAAACACATGGCCCATATAAATATAATTTGGTCTCAATCCTGTGAGTATGTGTGGTACATTATGCCCGTTGACTTCAATGAGACTTTTCAATTGTGTTGTAAGTGTTTTCAGGATTGGGTCCTTAGTGTGAAGCTACTGGTGGAAGGTGGGGTAGTGGTGAATGGATGCTCTGGGAAGGAGAGACTACTGAGGCCAGGAAGAAGTAGGCAGGTGGAAAAGCAGAGGGAGAAAATAAATCTCTAGGAGCAATACAGATCCCCTTAGAGTGACCCTAACAGGCCACTAAAATGATGCCTTGGAATCCAAGTTTAACCCTGAAGACACCTTGTTTGATGATTTAGCAGCTACATCTACATCTAAATTTTAGACCATTATTTGCTGTAGATGTGTTGAGAATGCGACAGGGGCCTAAGCTACTGTGTAGTCAGCTAGAAATATTTTGCTCCCTGGGATGGGGTTTTGTCACATTATTTGTGGAATGTTTCTGGGGCTGGTTCTGCAGCATCACACTGTCCTCCATGCTGAGTTCCCCATACTCAGGTGCACAGTTCCATACTGGGTCTTAGTTTATCCCCCTATTTAAGCTAACAGCATTTTGTAGCTGCTGCTTCAGTGCACCATAGCTGTGGTTGTTTCTCTACAAAGATTGATTCTTGTGAGGTCAGAATAAAAATCAATGGCTATTAAATAACCACTTCATAATAAATCAGTCTTTTAGGATCCTTTTCTTCCTGGGTTTCATTTGCACTTGAATGCATCGTGAATCGTGAGATGCACTTTGGTCTGTTTATTCAGATAATCTCTGGATATTTGAGCCTCACGCTACACTCTCATTTAATTGGTTCTGTGAATGTGCAAGCTTTTATGGGAACCCACTTGTGTCTTGTCTCCTTATTAACATATAGAATTCTTCCCTCCAAAGATTGTAGAGGAGAAAAAAGATATACTAGGGTGAGTTGTGAAACATAAGGCTACGGAGAACAATTAAATTAGAGAGGAGCTTAAGGGAAAAACTTAGCTCTGGATTTCAAATGCCCTAAAGTTCATTGAGGCTGGCGGGGGGAGGGATCCAGGCTATTTGGTTCAGAACTGTTTCTACAATGACTCATAGTTTTACATGCATAATAAAAACACAAGGTAAATAAAATCAAAATACTATAAATTACCAATATAGAAGGGATGTACCTATTAAAGGAAATATCTAGAATAAAAGTAATGAAAGAAGAAAAATGGGAAGGTAGCATTAATGTCTTTTTAGTGCTGGCTGAAAAATTTTTCTTAAAAAAAATGTCTATTTTGAGCTATTCAACTTTTTTGCAACATTCAGAATTTCCAACATTTTGACAAATTGTTTTAAAATAAAAAAATATTAGTTTCAATTCCCATCTAATGAAATAAAAATGCAAGTGTTTTGGGTTTGGGGTTTTTGTCTCTCCTTTTCCTCTTTTCACACTGGAGGGCAAAACATTTACTGGAAAAGGTGAGGGAGAGGGAGGGGAAATCCCTAAAAAAAAAAGTGAAATCCAAACATTTTTTGCTTTGATTCCATTTGATTTTATTTGAATTAAGTACTTTTTTATTTCAAGTTGCTTAATCAGAAATCTGAATATTCCACAGGAAAAAATCTGAACAAAATGAAAAATTTTGGTTTCAATTTTGTTGTGGAAAATAATTCACATTTTTTGACCAACTCCAATCACTACAGAAAATAACTTACACAAGGAGAGTGGAAAAATCATACTAAAATCTCAGAATACCATGTAGTTTGTTTTTGCATGATATTTTACTGTTAAGAATATCACTGCCATATTGCTTCCAAAATTCATTCAAAATCCGTGATGCAGTCAGGGGTAACAGTTTAGTATTAATTCACTGGGTTCTATTTAACCAATTGTAATGGAGTCCAGGGGTTAAATTTAATAGGCTTCTGTGGCTAAAGTTGTTGTTCACAGTTTTTCCATCTGTAAAACAAGGATAATTTACATTACTCATATGGGTGTTCTAAATATTAAGCCGTCCATTTGCACGGTGTTTTAAAGATGTAACCAGCTGTTGGTGCTGAATATTGTTATGAAGTGTCATTGGAGCATCGCATCTTGCTGGGTATCTTAATAATGAATACACATGAAAATTTCAGAGAAGTTCTAGTAACTTGCTGAGATTTTTTCTCTTGGAAATATCATTAAATGCAACTTTTAACTGGCCTGTCCATTTACACAGCATGGTTGGGAGCATAGTAACCATTACAAAATTATGCAGACAATTATTGACCCTCTTGGTTATCTCACTGAGTACTTGTACTTCCCTGCCTGTCTCTATCCATCTGTCCAGCTCCTTGGGGCACAGACTGTCTTTATGTTCTGTGTTTGTGCAGCGCCTACCACAATGGGCTCTGGTCCAAGACCAGAGTTCCTAGGCACTACCATAATATAAATAAATAATAAAATTAATAATTTGTACATGCAATGAGATTGATTGGGAGTGTTTGGACGCTGGCAACAGAGAATTCCTGAAGAGGTTTCCTCAAAGAAAACAAACTAGTTCTTAATCTTCTCTTCAGGTTGGAGAGACCAATTTCTATTACAGAGATAACCTGGGTGGCACAAATCAACACCGAGTAACCCTGCCCTTCCCATTTCAGCCAGAAACACATCTCCTAGTCAATTGTGGAGAATCTGCCACCTCTCCAAGTGAGAGGGAGAAAATGGAAGTAATGCCTCAGTCACTAAGCCCAGTGGAAAAGAGAAGTGATTTTGAGAGACAGTAATTTAAAACGTCTCTACCTGAAGGAGTTAGTGGAGTGGTAAGGCACAAAGAAGCAAAAGAATGTCAGCAATCAGGTGGCCAGTTAGTCTCCGTTCTTTTCACCTTCAGGCCTAGTTGCTCCCCCTAACCATCTACTGGTTCCAAAAGAAGGCAGACATAGGAAGACAAGTGGAGGGAAGACATTAAAATCCCTGCTCTGTACAATGGCAAAATATCATCAAAACAGAGAGCCCAAGAGACCAAGAGGCAGAATCTACAAAGGAAGAAAAAGCAGGCATAGCCAGACCTCATTCAAGGGCCTATATCATTTGAGTTTACTTCCCAGTATGAAAGTTAAAAGTGCAAACCAGTATCCTTTATGGCACAAGTCCATGTAGCCCATATAACGGTGAAATACTGGCAGTGAAAAGCCTGTAACACACCTTTCAGCTGCAGGTTGATGTTGCAGAGGAATGTAGTATCCAGGAAGATCTATCCAGATGTATGGCTACCTTTGATCCCTGAGATGCTGATCCTCCCAAAGACCATTATTCTACAACTCTAGAATGTTCTGAGCAGCGATGAAGCAATCTAAGAGGCCTCCTGTTCACATCACTAGAGATACATAGAGCAATTGTCAGTTATTTCCTCTAATCACCGGGGACAGGCACTCCTAGTGCCATTTCTATAATGCATTTTTTTCCTGCTCCTGCAGGTAGAAGATGATCATGATTTCAGTCTTCACCTTTGTTCTTGTCCCTGATCCCAGCCTGACCTTGAACAAAACCCCCCACCCCTTTTAAACTTCACTCTCACTCTTGAATTGACATTTGTTCATTCTGTGATTACTCCCGCCTTTAAACTTCATGCTTCAGGGAGCTGCTTTTTTCTTTTTTCAGGGTTTTAAAATAAATTCTATAGGAAAAATGGGGAAAAAGCTGTGTCACTCGAAATTTTAAAAAAAGGACGGAAACCCTGAAATAGACAATAGGAGCACTGCCAACGAATCAAATTGCATTGAGCCTAATTTAAAGTAAAGTATAGTATCAATAGAACAAATTCAATATTTTAATTCCTTGCAGGAACAAGAAAATTACATAGCATATATTTTGGTAATTAAAGGTTTTAAATAGTATGAAAAAGCAATCTTTATTACCGTGACAACCCAGAAATCATTAGATAGTATAAATTATTTGTACAAATATACATGTTTGTGTGTTAGGTTCTCAATAAACATCACTTTAATTGAAGCTTATATTTTCTTGAAAAGGACAGAACAGTAAGAAATCAAGCATTATTGGGATTCAATATTTCCAATAACGGAAGATTTCAGTTCCGTCTGCCACCAGTCTGTTGATAATGTTAAAGACAATGCAGGTAGTGATGCCTATCAGTAAAGTTTCCATTATAAGCCCCTGTTTTCAGTGACTTATTACTCTACCAAATTTTAACCATTTAGGTTGAAATTTTCCATGCAAGGCGTCTGCCTAAGGGTTGAACTTTTTTGAAAAGTTTCAGCACTACTGGTTCAATTGCTTCTGAGAACAATGTTTTGGAAAAATACATTGTTTTTCCATGTTAAAAAAATTCGTACAGCCATTTCATTGAGACGCTCTAGCACTGCCTGGGGTCAGGGTTGTGCTTTTTGTCACTCCTTTGAAGATATGCCCACATTGGACCAAGTTATAAGCCTCTGAAAAATCTCAGTTTGCACCTACTCAGTAGAGACTTGTTAGTGATTGACAGCTAAATTGTCTGAAATTGTCTATGTGGACTTGTGCCAGTGTCTGAAAGCCTGTGCTGTGTCACACAGAGGCACAAAGTAATCCACCATCTGTGCCGTTTCCTTCATGCAGCCAATGAAATTGTTGCTTGCTGTAGAGTAAGGGTTTGTGATTGGTTGAGTTATCTCTGAGTGGTCTAAGACTTGTGGCATAGAATAGATACATACCTTACTGTAGCTGTACAATGTACACGTTTAGTTTGTAAAGGCAAAATGCCTGAGAACTTAAAATGGGAGAGTAACAGACTGCCAATCCCAGGGATGATTCAAGTTGGTGATAACCTAGACAAAATTGTTCTCAGCTAAGCTTGTAGTGCTTTCCATTGCTTCACACAGACTCAACAGACATTCTGGGCTTCAGAGTGACACCCGGTGACAATCCTAGAATCTTATATAGATTCCTTCTGCATTAAGTATGCTCTGTCCCCCCTCAGCTCCTGCATGCTGACCACACTGAATTTGGGCTTATCCTCACAGAGCAATTGAGCAGGCTCTAGCCCAAGGCTGTGCTGGATTTTCCCTGTAATTGTTTCCTCTGACTCCTGGCCTCTGTGGTACCAGGCACAGGAACTGAAAGCAGGGAGCCTGTCTCTCCTTTCTCTCAATGCAGGCCCCCACTCAGACAGTGTGGCAGAGAAGGCGGGAGCTACCTGACTCAAATGCAGATGGGAGAAAAAGAGGAAGGGGAGAGGGAGCAGGGATTGGAAAGAGAGCCATGACTGGGGGACAGGAGTAAAGGGAGCAGAAGACAGGGCAGAGGGGACAAGAGCAGTCTTAATTCTGGCATTTCCTGACTTTTGGGTGCTTGACTTTGCAACCGCAATGTTCTTTTAACATAGTTTTTTGGATGTAATAAGTATGCACAGTATGTACTGAGCTGTTTGTTAATAATTAATTATAAGCATCAGTCACATTTGACTCTGCAGATGAACTTCATTTTCTTTCAAAATCCTAAATAACATGCACATTCTAAATATAAGTCTGGGTCCATCTCAAGGAATGAAAAAGTAGGGGAACAAATATAAAGGAAAAGCTATTTGAGTGACAGATTAGTATTCAACAGCCAGGAATATTTTTAAAGGAATTAATTACACAGGTGACCTGGACTCTAATGGACATAGAGTCTCATTCTGAGATTTACCAAAAAAAAAAAAAAAAAAGTAATTTTCGGAGACATCCATTACTCAGGGCAGGTATCTAATCTGAGGCTGATGGCCCTGTTTCTGAGCACATTACAGTGGAGTGACTCTATTATCTTGCAGGGAGTCGCTCCTGATATACACTGGTCTGAGATCAGAATCAGGCTGGATAATTGTAATGCATTCCAGTCTCATCTATTCCAATAATGTACTGAAAAACTATATACTCTCAGTCATTGAGAAGCAGATAGGAACCAATCCAATTAAGCCATACAAAGCTTTTGGGAATGTGGGGTAGGCAATGGGATATTTCCATCAAGTCCTGAATGGGAAACTGTTTGGGGGACATTCATAATCTGCATCAGTCAGTAGCTATCACTCCATCGTCTTGTTTTTCTTCACAAGCTTCTCCATGTGTACACCACTTAGAATATGTAATGTGACAGCTATATTACATTGTATCTTCATCTGCTTTTACTGTTTTCTGGGGGAGAGTTATAGGTCATCCTAAAAAATCACATACATGTAATTATCCTTGAATGTAACTTTAATATTCAAATCAATTACAATCACTGCACAAATTACTAAGAGCATTAGAAAACTGATACTGATGAAGGCTATGAAAACGATTACAAAACTGAAGAGAGACTTCTCACATACAAAGTGATCAGTGGATACATCCCATTGATAATACACATAAAAATTAGTGGATGTAAGTTTCCAAATGCAAAAGGATGAGGTCTTTCCTTAGTCTCTGGAATTCAGTGAATAATTAAAACAAACAGGAGGTTATTTGGTATTCTACATATGGTATGTAACAATTACAAATATGTACATTTAAAACAATACTGTCTATTTTTCTCTTCCTCACAAGGTATCCTCTGCTGCATATTTTTAAACTTTGTCCTCCTTTTGTAGTTTAGAAATCAGTAAGAATTCCCATAAACATCCAGAGAAGAAAACAAATACACAGAACAATGATCGCTTCTTTACAATTAAAACGAAAATGAAAGCTACCAACCAACTTAAGGAGTCTGTGCATTTCAACGTGACATTTCCAATCCGCATTTGTCATTTCGTTTTTAAAACACAAGACTGTTTTACTGCGTGCTTTATTAGAATAGAATGTGCGTCGTCTCTTCGAACCAAGAAGATTCTAACTGTATCTGTCAGATTCTTAATGTTCCAAACTATCATGGTTTATCATCACAGAGCTAAATCATCACACCTGAAGTATTATTTTATTTTACTATTCAAAGAAGTTACACTCTTGTCCAAGCTTCAGTTACCCATAGCTTAAAACAAGTAAAATGCAGATTTACTTTGGGCAGGGGCAAGAGAAAGAACAGACAAATGCCCATCTTGCAGGCCAAAGGCAGAGTCTGGAAAGTCTTCATTTTCCTCTTCGCTGATCCCTCAGAACTTTGCGAGTTTCCATACCAGAATATGGCAGGCTGCTAGCAAGCTCCATCAGTGAAAAGGCAAAAAGGATATAGCCAGCTCTCTGGACTTCTTTTCCTTTAACTTTATACTCTGGTTCAGGGGCTTCCTCATCCTGAGAATTTGCTGATAGACAGGCATCAATTTTGATTGAGGGGGAAATCGTTTTTCAGACTCTGTCAAATCCGCTCCAAGCCTTTGCTTATCCCTAGGCATATAAATCTCGTAGAAAACCTTATGCCAGATCTAGAAGTGATATCTCTCCAGCATGGTCAGATTTATGTGGGGGGAATTCACCAATCCAGGAAGTATTTTCAGAACAGTATTATATGACAGGAGGAAAAACAGGTAGCCAATGTATTACCTGAAATTAAAAAAAAAAGGCTTACAGGCTTCTTTTAAAGGTTAACAGAAGGGAAGGTGAAGACATGTGTAGCTGTGACTTTTGGCATTGAGGAATGTGATCACGTGCAGTAGGGGGCTGTACATTTATTTTCCGAATAGTTTGTTACCGTTTTTCAAAAAGTAGTCTGAAAAATGGATTGTGTTACCTTGCACATTGCAAACCTTTCAGTAGAGGTTGAAATTGTGCTTCCTTATTGAATCTAAGAACAATGAGAGAGAGTGCGGAACATCCATTCTAAGGACAATTGGTTAGTAAATACGAATTTTCAAATCCAAGTAATAGTCTGACATTCTGATAAATACAGAAAAACCTCATATGCAGTCCTAGAACTTTAAGCAAGAATCTACACCCAAGGGAAGCCTGGTTTCCAAGTGTCCGCAAGGAAGCTATAATTTAGAGCTGAGTCACATCTTTTGTTCAGGGGAGCACCTCAAAGGGAAGTGCTGGTAGGCATTGTTATTTTTCATTCATTTGAATTACAGCAGTGCCCAGAGGCCCCAACCATGATACCAAGATCAGGGCCCCGTTGTCCTACACTTTTATTTCATAAGAAATTGCCCGAGCCCTGAAGAATTTACAGTCTAAATACACAAGAAATAGGCTGGGAGAAGGGTAATACTATTGTCCCCATTGTACCAAAGGAGAACGTTTACACCCCAAACTGGAACATGCTAATATAGAGCTAACTTTGTCTCCAGACAAGGGGCACTTTGTATGGCTGAAGGAACGTGTGTATTCTGGAAATGAATGGAAAGGCAATCCTTGCCAGAGGATGTTGTGAAGGCCAAGTCTATAACAGGGTTCAAAAAAAGAACTAGATAAGTTCATGGAGGAGAGGTCCATCAATGGCGATTAGCCGGGATGGGCAGGGATGGTGTCCCTAGCCTCTATTTGCCAAAAGCAGGGAATGGGAAACAGGGGATGGATCACTTAATCATTACCTGTTCTGTTCATTCCCTCTGGGGCACCTGGCACTGGCCACTGTCGGCAGACAGGATACTGGGCTAGATGGACCCAGTGTGACCATTCTTATGCATATGCTCTAAAGTCTGCTATGTGATTGTGCCTATCTTAACATACATAGGTACAAATGTTGCTGTTGTTCATCAAAGTATCCCTCGATGCCATCAGACTTGGTGACCTCCCGCAACACTGAAGTGTGGAAGGTGGCAACACTCATGGCAAAGTAGCGTTTGTGAATTTGACTGCCATTGGTTTGAGAGATGCTCTTGTTCTTGTGTTTTGAGGGCAGTGGGGTGAATGCCATAGTCACTCCTATGACAGCTCATTTTAAGGTTTTATCCTCTAGTACATGCTGGCAACAAACTTCCACACCATTAACCAATAAACAGAGGCTGAGTTTTCATTGAGGTGTCCTAGGAATCAGGCCATCTCCACACTGATCATTGCACTGTGGGACAGGAGCTGGAGGGCTGTTTGCACCATGTGTGCTAACACGATAGTGAGATCCATCCACACGGAAAGGATTAAGGCTACAAAGATTGAGCATCAATTGCTGTTCGTCCTGGTGAAGCATAGTCTATGTGGCATGATTGTAAACAGACTGGAGCACCTGGGAGAGATCTACAACTAGTATGAATTGGTGTAGCTTCAATAGAGCCGTGCTGATTGGCACCCGCTAAAGATGTGGTCCTGTGTGTGTGCATGCAAGTTGCACGTCAGTAGATCAACAGGGAGCAAATGGAATTTAGCATCTTCAACTTAAACAGGTGCTCCCTGGTGTGTTGTAAATATTTACATATATTTTGTCAAACCAAGACATCTGTGGAGTGGGCACTAATGAATGGAAATGCTACAGAGAATCTAAAAGCTTTTCTTGAAAACAAGGGAGAGTTACTGTCTCTTTGCAGTTAAGAGTGATACGTTTTTCTTTGTGAGATGGATAAAGGAGAGTTAAATGCATGTAATGAGCAGGTACTGAATTGCACATAAAACTTAGACAAACTTGCTAGGGTTGGTACAATGGGTGGAGGATGTTCTACAGTTTTTTGTCGGTTCAATTTGTGTGGTTTTTGCATCTCTCTCTCTCTGAAATGGTTCTAGTAAGTTCCAGTTTCAAGTTGAAATTTTGCATTTTCCAAATTTCACAAGGAAGTGCTATGGTAGCGATCTTTGGCTATTTTGGGCTGGGACGGGGGGTGGGAAGACCAATGGGAGAGCTTCTGTTGTTGTTGACTGACTCAGAGCTCACCAAATTCAGATACTTCCTCTGAGAAATTCATTCACAGTAACTTCTCCTAACCCTCTTAGCCACCTGAGCTCAATTTAGACAGCAAGGGACCCAGAATCAATACTATGAGACTAATGTGATCAATCACAACAACGAGTGCAACTTGAAATTTGAAAAACAGTAATGCGGCACAAGTTTGACACCAAAAAATGTTTCTCAGTCATAATAGAAAAGATAAATCATGTAAAATTTCATTGAAAAAAAATAAAATGTCATAAAAGTGCTCCAATTAGGATTTTTTTTTGCCAAACTCAGAACCAGACAACAAACTATTGTGCTATGAATATTAAATGCAATTCTTAACATTACCCTCTTGGATCTGCACAGTATATTTTAATTCAAGATTTCTGCTTTCCCAGACTGTGCAGCACTTGCCTCTTTCCCAAAGGCACCTGCTGGAAAACAGCCGAGTGTATGAGCTGAGATTTGAGAGAGAAACTTTGCAATGACGAGTGAACGGTAACCATGCAACAATACACGTTGGAGTGATCCATAGACATCGTTGAGGGCTAGCTACTAAAAACGCTTATTTTGTTCCAAAGAAAAAAATTGCTCAGGGGATATTAAACATTCAAAATGTAAGATTTGTTTTAGAATGCAGAAACTCAGGCTTTAACTACGAAGGAGAAATCTTCATGCTAAGCATTAAACTCAAGAATAACTTAGCTTGAAATTCTCTCTTATTTTCAGCATGTTGTTATCTTGTAGCTCTGCTCCTCCTGGAGCTGTGCAAACATTCAGCCAGAAGCCCAAACCCACTTGAAATCAGAGTGGGTTCAGGTTCTAGCCAAAACCACAAAGGTCAGCCCAGACTGACAAACCTTTGGTAGACATAAGGTTGTTCTACTTACACAATTGTTCCCTTCTACCCAGCTAGTCATGTCTTCAAAGTCTTGGGACCTTGCATCCTGGTCTCCAGGGACGCTGGGACCTGCCTCTCTTCTGTGGCCTGCTAAAGGTGTCAATTAAAACACAAATTGTATTACCCTCTTGGCCTGCAATGTAGACAATCCGTTTGGCTTCAGGCATGACTCACCTTTTCTGGTATTTAGAATGGGGCAATGGTTTTTACTCAGCACCCTGGTTCCCAGAGCCCCACCTTCTGACATTCTCCTTCTGGCTGTTGTGCCTGTCCTCCTGTACGTTTTCTCCCCATGCTCTGTGCCCCAGTTTGGAGCGGCATTTTTCTGTATCCCTCTCCCTAGATCGGGGTCTCATTTTACAACCGCGGACTGCCTTGCCATTTGTACCACCTGCTGTAGAGTGATGTTTGACAAAATCACGGTTAGCCTGCACCGGCTTAAAACCTGTTTGTGTTAATACATTCCCAATCCAAAGCATCTGTGCCGCTGCAGAACAATCGCACAGGATTCGACAAACTGCAGCTCAGGGATCCAGCACATTTCAGCTGACTGTGTTGTCCGCTCTTGTTCCAAATGACGCTAGAGAAAGGAAAGGGATTAGCCAACACACCTGATTGATAGTGAACACTACACTAGCTCTGAAAAGTCTCTGGCTGGAGGCACCTGCATGAAGTGCTTTGCCAGTTGTTAAGCTTTCCTTTCTTAGCAAGCTTAATCTTCATTATCAAGTTAGTTTCACTCAATTTGCTTCTACCCGCCTCAGATTTCTACCCAATGTTATTAAAAAAAAACCCTTGACTTCCTCAGCTTGATTTAATTTCCAAGGTATTAAAATTCTGGCAGAATTAAGAAAAACCAATTATGCTTAATAAAAAAGGCTTGGATTGGAACCCCATGTGACATTTTATGTGCAATTTTGGTGTGCAATTAGATTACATACCAGGCCCTGTAAGGGTGGACCTCAGTAAATAAAATGCAAGTTGTACTAAATGTCAATTTAGCAATTATCTCACCAGTTTCAGCCCCAGTTACAATTTTTCAGGAAGATGTTTGCCTTTAAACCATACCCATAGGAGCTAGAGTGTGGGTTTTTTTTACCGCTTAAGCTTCAAAGAATAACATCTTTTGCTTGAGAATAAATGAATTGCTCTCAGGCCCAGCGTTTTTACCCACCATGAAGCCCCTGGGTGTTGATATATTTGTCATCAATTCCGTAACACAAGTGTCAAGAGAATTCCTCTTCGTAGCAAGAAGCAAGGTCAGTGTAAATCAAAGCATTGTAGCATGGCCATTTAGCTGCTGCAGTCCTGTGTGTGCCAGAAAGGTTTGCCATTAAAAAAATGTAGCTAGCTTTTGGCATTCTATTGAGGTGCAGTAAATTTAATCCTGTTTGTGAGGGTGAAGAAATCGCTTCCTCGTTATTTCTTGTAAGGGTGGCTTAGGGATTTGAGTGGCTTCCAGCATTAAAAGGACATGGAGGGAGGAGGGGGGGGTGCAACTGAGGAGGTGACCCTCCTCTAAATTTAAAAATCACTTATGCTTTGCATGTCAGCCCACCATACTGCACTTTGTATTGCGTTCTTTCACGTCCAGTCATATCTCCCTTATAGGTTAAGGCCGGAGGGAGGCGAAAGGGCAAGAGAGGGAAAGCAGCCTGCACGGGAGATGGTGGGATACCGAGACACAATCATGTAATGAGTTGTGCGTTAGACTCGCAACACGTCAACCATCTGCTGCAGACTGACAGATGGGATGAACAGTGACAGTAGAATGGCTCCTTAGTTTTAGCAGGACATAAAAAGCTTGAAAAATAACACTTTTTTTTCCTCCCAAGACCCACACAGTAGCAATAGAGTTTGGTCACTTGTTCCTGTAAAAAGTGAGTGTGTGTATGTGTATAGGCATATCCATAACAGAAAACGGGCAAAGCAGTTCAGAATAAATGCAGTTTCGGTCATTAGTGAGACTCATAAAGCCCTGAAGTTCATTCTCTTGTGGCCTCACATTGACAGGAAGTAGGTAATGGTGCTTGGTACCTTGCAGAATCAAGCCCTTGGAACGTTTTTGTTTGGTTGGTTTGCTGTTCCTAGTAGTAACGGGCTAGTCAGCTTCAGAGGGCGCTCAACTGAAACACTGATGCACAATGACAGCATTTTGCAAAGGAACCCCTAAGCACACAGCATATGGTAACTGAGCTAAAATGAAGAAGCATTTTGTGGAACTGCTTGTATGGCCAGACTGAGAGTTCAGCTCTTACATCTAAATCAGGGCCAGATTTACAAATTCACTCACCACCCAGCAGCCTGCGTTGTGACACTGAGGGACAGATTTTCAAGATAGTTCAGCATCCAGCAGGCTGGATAGATTCTTCTGAAAATCTGGCCACTTACTTAGAAACTTAAATTGGATCTGTGCTCATTTCATTGAATCATAGAATATCAGGGTTGGAAGGGACCTCAGGAGGTCACCTAGTCCAACCCTCTGCTCAAAGCAGGATCAATCCGCCACTAAATCATTCCAGCCAGGGCTTTGTCAAGCCTGACCTTAAAAACCTCTAAGGAAGGAGATTCCACCACCTCCCTAGGTAACGCATTCCAGTGCTTCACCACCCTCCTAGTGAAAAAGTTTTTCCTAATATCCAACCTAAACCTCCCCCACTGCAACTTGAGACCATTACTCCTCGTTCTGTCATCTGCTACCATTGAGAACAGTCTAGATCCATCCTCTTTGGAACCCCCCTTCAGGTAGTTGAAAGCAGCTATCAAATCCCCCCTCATTCTTCTCTTCTGCAGACTAAATAATCCCAGTTCCCTCAGCCTCTCCTCATAAATCATGTGCTCCAGCCCCCTAATCATTTTGTTGCCCTCCACTGGACTCTTTCCAATTTTTCCACATCCTTCTTGTAGTGTGGGGCCCAAAACTGGACACAGTACTCCAGATGAGGCCTCACCAATGTCGATTAGAGGGGAACGATCACGTCCCTCGATCTGCTCGCTATGCCCCTACTTATACATCCCAAAATGCCATTGGCCTTCTTGGCAACAAGGGCACACTGTTGACGCATATCCAGCTTCTCGTCCACTGTCACCCCTAGGTCCCTTTCTGCAGAACTGCTGACTAACCACTCAGTCCCTAGTCTGTAGCAGTGCATGGGGGTCTTCCGTCCTAAGTGCAGGACTCTGCACTTGTCCTTGTTGAACCTCATCAGATTTCTTTTGGCCCAATCTTCTAATTCCAATCGTCCCTCTGTATCTTATCCCTACCCTCCAGCCTATCTACCACTCTTCCCAGTTCAGTGTCATCTGCAACCTTGCTGAGGGTGCAGTCCACGCCATCCTCCAGATCATTAATGAAGATATTGAACAAAATCGGTCCCAGGACTGACCCTTGGGGCACTCCGCTTGATACCGGCTGCCAACTAGACATGGAGCCATTGATCACTACCTGTTGAGCCTGATGATCTAGCCAGCTTTCTATCCACCTTATCATCCATTTATCCAGCCCATACTTCTTTAACTTGCTGGCAAGAATACTGTGGGAGACCGGATCAAAAGCTTTGCTAAAGTCAAGGAATAACATGTCCACTGCTTTCCCCTCATCCACAGATCCAGTTATCTCATCATAGAAAGCAATTAGGCTAGTCCGGCATGACCTGCCCTTGGTGAATCCATGCTGACTGTTCCTGATCACTTTCCTCTCCTCTAAATGCTTCAAAATTGATTCCTTGAGGACCTGCTCCATGATTTTTCCAGGGACTGAAAGTCTCTACCTAACTGGGGGCAATGAGCACTTTTGAAAATTCTGTCTGTGGGTTAAGACCACCATATTATTTCCAGGAAATACAAAGCTCTCTTTCTGTCCTATAATCTGAAGTTTGATTTGTTGATACATTTCCTCTGATGCTTTCGCTGCCCAGTTGACCCATCTATCTAATGCTTTTGTCTCATCTGGTTTTACAGGACTTCATCGTGACAGTGGTCTTCTCCTTCTTGTGGCTGGTGGGTTCGTCTGCTTGGGCCAAGGGACTGTCTGATGTAAAGGTTGCTACTGATCCAGACGAAGTGCTATTACTGATGTCGGCTTGCAAACAGCAGTCTAACAAATGCATGCCTGTGCGCAGCCCTGTTATGTCAAGCTTAAATACTTCGGTTGTAAGTAGATCTGTTTATTTTTTTTACTGTCAGGCAATGAAAGTGTGTGCACGTATTTTCAGCTCTCCAGACATACAGATTGGGCCACATCCTCACCTGGTATAAATCAATGTAGGTCCACTGGCTTCTTTGGAAGTTCCTAAAATGTTGCCAGTGATTTGACTGAAAATGCTGCCTCACTGAGATAGTTACCATGGAGAAAAATTATAGACTGACTTACAGGTAGTTTCATTCAATAGTCAGCTCGCTTTGGAAGTGAACATTGGGAATACACCTATAAAATAAGTGTGATTTTATGAATGTATATCCCACATGTGTGGTGCTCTAACGTGCGGAATATTTATGCCATACCGAGGTAGATATGGTCCCTGCACCAAAGATCTTCCGGACCAAGGTTCCAATGCTTAGCTAAATTTTGAACCGCCAACAAGCCATTTCCCTTCCTTTGACACTCCAGCTTTTGCTTACCTATCCATCTGGATGCTCATCCCCATGCATCCAGGATCTAAGCCAGACCGTCCATAAGAGCACCCTTCCATACACCCCACCAGTAATTCAGTTCTGCTTGTGTATTGCCTTCTCCTGCAAAGGCGTTTTCTTCAGCGGCAATGAGCTCTACAGGTGGAACATCAGAGCCCAGCAAAGGTGGCTGCAGCGGCAGCATCGGGATGAGACACAAAATCCAGAATTAGTACGGTGCACACTCGCACTGCCTTTCCTGTGGCCATGAAGGGTCTGTTTGCTTTCAGCTTCAATCTACCATCACATGTTGAAAAAGAAACACTCTGTCTTTGTCTTATGTAGAGCTGGGAGGAAAATGGTCTTCCTGCCCTGGCAAAATGTTCACGATTTAGACATTTTTTTCTCTATTCAGATTGGGTCAATTGAAATTTTGTTTCGATTTTGGCTTTAATTTTTACTTTGAATTCCTAAGCCAAGTCATTTCAAAGCGAGAAGCAGGACTGTTCATTTAGAAAAGGGCGAGGGTGGGTGGGGGGAGAACATTTTGACAAATAAAAAAAAAAATGAAATTTGTCAGACTGGCCCGTTCCCATACAAAGTTTAAGTTTCAGCAAATTGTGAGTGCCTCTAACACTAATTAATATTACAAAGACGACAGCAAAACCTTCAACCACCAACCCAACAAAATAGGCAAGGCTTTCCCTCCCAACTCCCATCCCCTATAAACCACCATCCCCATCAAGCCCCAACTGGTTTAGCTACCTGGGCAAAAAGATGGGCTTTGCAGCCTCTGTCGTTGACTATTTTGGGGTAGGCACGGACCCCTGTTTCACAGCTGAGCATGTAGCTTCCTGAGCCTTTTGGGAAGGGTTGTCTTTAAATTGCCTTTGCTCATTTCATTAAAAGAAGTGTATTGGATAAAGCTGAACATTACATATATACTGGGCCTAAAAATCATGCCTTTGTACTCATGAATTGCTTTGATTCTTGTTTAGGTCTTTGGATTCTTGAACTTTATTCTCTGGGCAGGAAATATTTGGTTTGTTTTTAAGGAGACTGGGTGGCATTCCTCGGGCCAGAGGCACCCTCCAGACACCATGGAGAAACAATCAAGCAGCTATAATCAAGGTGGTTATAATCAAGACAACTATGGTCCAACTGGAGGATATAACCAACCTGCAGGCTTTGGCCAACAAGCCAACTATGGCCAGGTGGGTGAATATGGCCAGCAACAGAGCTATAATCAGAGTGGGCCCACCTCATTTGCCAATCAAATTTAGCATTCACAGAATTTGCATTCCTACACCCCTTATATGTAGACAGTGTAACAACACTAGGTTTCAGTGGCACCAGATTTGTAAAGAAAGTTTAAATAAATTAATACTCCAAGAGAGTATGTAATGTAAATCAAAGATCTAATGGTACCTATTGAAGCAGACGGTGGTGGCTAGTTTGTTATTTTTGTCACTCGACAACTGATGATGATGTATTCATCACAGGTGGTGAACTGAAGTATTGTTGTATGTATTGTATAGATAACTTTATGGTAGTTTGTATGTGTACTAAAATGGTAAAAGCATTTTGTAGCCTCAAGTCTGTATTGTGTAATATGCATAACATAATGAAGTAGAATAGAATTTTTCTTCTGCATTTTGGTGAGAAACAGAAGTGTTTTATTCTGATTTCTAAAGATTATTCAGTATATCATGATGCATGTAACATTACTCCTAAATTTTCAAGACTGCCTGTTTGTAATGCTTTAGAGCGTTTGTTTTTAGTATATTTTTTCCAGAGGAATTTTTTTAATTATTATTTTGATTAACCAGTTCCTGTGTGACTTAGTGCATGGATAAGCAGTTTCACACCAACAGAATGTTTTGGACCCTGTATATGGAACTTTTCAATTTCTGCCACTCCTTTTTTTGTTAAATGTATGTTTAAGAAAATGTATGTATATTTTATATATTTTGCAGAATTGGGTATATGGCTTACCCAAGTTCTGAATGCTTTGTAACTAAAATGTTTTTCCTTGAGAGAGCATTCAGTAGCATAAATGGTACCTGACCAACGTTTATTCCGGTTAACTAAGCTCAGTATTCATTCTATAAATCACTATTTCTATTGATGTTTTGTGAAAATTTTAACGTGAGCTGTGAAAACTAAGGACCAAGTAACTGTGTTATATGTTTACAAAGATATTTATTTAATTAGGATAACAGAGGTGCAGATGTCAGTAACCAAAACCATGTGAAAAATATGCCATGTGTCATGTACTTAATTTAACAAAACATGGCAAGGACATAGATCATTGTTAGTCAGCATTACAAAGCGTAATTATTCCTTTATTCCGGATGGAAATAATTCTATCTATGCCATTTGAAAATCATTAAATGACACTTCTGTTCCATCATTATGGTGAATGCTGGTTTTGAATAATGGTTTTGGTGCTATCAGTAAATGTTAGGAAACTGGCAAAATCTAAAAAACCTCATCTTAAAATATATAGAGGTCAGATTCCTAGCAGGTGTAAATTGGCATCGCTTCACTGAAGATTTGGACTTTGCTTCTTACAGTACATGGGATTCTGTGTAGCCAAAAGGGTCACCCTAAACTCTCTTTTCTTACTCAGTTTGAAGCCTGAAACACAGCATCATAATCGAAACTGATCATCTGCATTTCTAAATAAAAGTGTATCCGTCTATAATATTGTATGAGCTGTAATGTTAAAAGCATAAAACAGCATAGTCTTATATGATTGTTGTAACCAATTTATGGCTACTCAGTGGATGGATCTATATTGTGATATCTATTTGACCCTAATAAAGTTAATGCATACAATGTACATTTGAAGAGTATGGTGGTATTATAACAGTGTAAAATAATTCTCATTTTGAGTATTTTCCAAGATTTTTACAAGGATTGTACAGACATACATTTGGAGACATGATTCATTTCTGGTAAGTCAGTGTCACAACATAAAAATACCCAATTTTAACGTATACAGTCCAATTTCTGTGTGTGTGTGTCTCTCTCTCTCTCCAAGTATTAATAAATCAGTACTGTGTTGTTTAATTGTCCAGAACAAAACAAAAAACTGGAGTGTGTGTGTGTGTGTGTGCGGGGGGTGATCTTCCAGCTTTGCCCCTTTAGTTTGGTGCCCCCCAGTTTCTTGAACTGGGGGAGAGACTGTCTCTAGGCACTTGTGACTTTCTGTCCTGAGCTCCCTTAAATGTAAAACAGACATATTGGAATTGGAAAAGGTTCAGAAAAGGGCAACCAAAATGATGAGGGGTATGGAACGGCTGGCAGATGAGGAGAAATTAATAAGACTGGGACTTTTCAGCTTGGAAAAGAGACGACTAAGGGGGATATGATAGAGGTCTATAAAATCATGACTAGTGTGGAGAAAATAAATAAGGAAGTGTTATTTACTCCTTCTCATAACACAATAACTAGGAGTCACCAAATGAAATTAATAGGCAGAAGGTTTAAAACAAACAAAAAGAAGTATTTTTTCATACAATGCAGTCAACCTATGGAACTCCTTGCCAGAGGATGTTGTGGGGGCCAAGTCTATAACAGGGTTCAAAAAGAGCTAGATAAGTTCATGGACGACAGATCCATCAATGGCTATTAGCCAGGATGGGCAGGGATGGTGCCCCCAGCCTCTGTTTGCCAGAAGCTGGGAATGGGCGACAGGGAATGGATCTCTTGATGATTACCTGTTCTGTTCATTCCCTCTGGGGCACCTGACATTGGCCACTGTCAGAAGACTGGATACTGGACTAGATGGACCTTTGGTCTGACCCAGTATGGCCGTTCTTATGTTATTTGCCTATGCAAATGGGAGGCAGCATTGCTTAGTGGCTAGAGCACTGGCCTGGGATTCGAGAGATCTGGATTCTGTTCCCAGCTCTGCCCCTAGTCTGAGAAGTGGCCTTGAGAAAGGCACTTTCCCCTCTCTGTGCTTCAGTTCCCCATCTGTAAAATAGGGATAATACTGACCTTTGTTACATGCTTTGAGAGCTGTGGATGAAAGTACTATGTAAGAGCTAGGCATAATTATTATATTATTAAGTTTCAAGTTTAAGCAAACATTTTCATCTGAAAAACAGAACTGAGGGAATGACTTAGTAATAGAACCAAACAACATATCCATGCTCAAAAAAGAACTTATACAGTAATATATTCAAGGAAGGAGTAGGATATACAGGCTCTTTAATAGTGTTTAGCCATAATGAGTTGATTGGTATCTGATACATCCTCTGCCTGGGGACTATAGTTTCATGGTCAGGCGTGTGGGTTGCAAGGTCCAATAAGTTTTTTCCCTCTCTATCTTCTCTGATGAATATAATATAGCAACCGCAAAAATGAAAACAAAAATCCATGCATGCATTTGTATCTGTTACAACTGGAGAATATGCAGGAATGTTCCCTTTGTGTTAAAGTCACGGTACAGGGCCAGTTACATCCCAGGGGAGCATCAGGAGAAAAAACACTGAGTTTGGTGTTTCCTAATGTAAGGCAAATAAATGGCTCTGTAAACTCCAGCTTCCTCTTCAAAGTCCTGTGTGCAGACGGATTTCTTTCCCACTGCGTTATTAGTGGGTGTATCTGCTAATTAGTTAAATAACTAGGTCAGCCTTGAAGCATACATGTCCCTTGATGTTCAGGGCAGTCCTTCCTGCTCATTTATAATCCTTCCTGTGTGTTTCTCTTTGTTGCCCATTTCTCCGCTATCCTAGCCGTTAGACATGTTTGTATTATTAGGTATACACACTGTGGAGGCTTTTATCCCCTTCCCTCCTCACACACTCCTTTTCCCTCCAAGTAGCAGGCAGTGCTTGTGTCTCAAAGCCCAAGGCCACATGTGTGCCTCGATGCTTGCCCCTGGGCTCCCTGCAGCCTTGCCCAACGCCCTGCCTTCCAGAGCTGCTCCCCTCCCCCCACCACACATCCGCTTAAACGGCAGGTTATCCCAGCAAAATGAGAGCTGCAGAGAGTAACCCCTGGATGCGTTAGCCCTCCACCTGGGTAGCGATGGGCATCTCCCCTGCCTCACCCTGGGCTGGCCCTGTTTCCAGCCCTCATAGACAGAGGGAGCTGTGGGGCCTGGAGCATGGGGAGCAGAGACACAGAGATTGCTGATTCCCTCCCACACTGGGTGAGGATTCCTGGGGCTCTGTCTACAATGGGGTTTCAGCACAGACTTCTAGGGCAGGCCTGGCTTAACACTGGAGAAGCAGGAGGTGCAGCACAGGATTTCTAGAGAAATAACATATAGACTGTGATCAAGTCTTGTAAGTATCTACATGGGAAACAAATATTTCCTAATGGGCTCTCCAATCTAGAGAGAGAGGTCTAACGTAGTCCAGTGGCTGGAAGGTAAAGCTAGACAATTCGGATTGGAAATAAGGCAGTGAGAGTAATTAACAACTGGAACAACTACCCAAGGTCTGGATTCTCCATCACTGATGATTTTTAAATCAAGATGGGATGTTTTTCTAAACAATCTGCTCTAGGAATGACTTTGGGGCAGTTCCCTGGCCTGTGTTACACAAGTGGTCAGACTAGATGATCACTATGGTCTCTTTTGGCCTGGGATCTATGTATAAGGCCTGAGTTTTTTGCTCTTCGTCGTGATGGGTATAAATCCGCAGTAACTCCATTGAATCCGGGTGGCTAAAATTCCCTTGTCTTTCCCATGCAAATTCTCCAATATTTGTATTGTCCACCTGCTATAAAGCTAAGCAAAGGAAGAACAAGGCTCCAGTGGCCTTTTGCTGCCATTTAGGGACACACTCTGTGGTCGGGTACATTGTACCACTGCTTCTGGCATGCCAGGGGCAGCAGGCTGTGCAAAGGTACTACATTCCCCTCTCTAGCACGGTTAGTCTGGAGGGAGGAGGGAGCAGAGCCTTGATTCTACCCCCCGCCTCCTACAGTATATTGAGAACCGAGCAGAGACATGGAATTTACTTCCCGGAGCAGTACAAAAACCAGGAGGCCAACTATGCCTCCTGCATTCGCAGGGCAGCCCATAAGCCTAGTTGGATATTTTCTTTATTCCCATAAATCTCTGCAGATCAGTGGTTATATCTTGTCTCCTGCTTGGCACTGAGTTGGCCTGTGATAAATCATAAAGGTGTTTACACAAGCGAGATGCAAGGAGATGCTGAGGTTCTGTGGATGGATTCATCTCGTGAGCGTTTGACCCAAGTAGCCTAATTATTCCCAATTTGCATATCCTATGAATTAAAAAGAGTTGTTTAAAACTGAGATCTAGCTCTGTATTTATGCCTGGCAAAGTCTCTGATGTACTGATGAAAGAAGCCGTTGCATGCATCTGTCTTTATTCTGCCACATGCAGTATCTCCAGAGCACCACAGTTAATATTAGAGATTTTAAAAAAACACCTCAAATAATAATAGTCCTCTGAGTCTGTTTCATGCCTATCTCAAATATTTCCCTTTCATTGTATACCTATCTAGTGGTTCTATAGTCCACTGTGTCATAAACCTTTAAGTCCTTCAGTCTACTTCTTTTAAACCAGATTGATTCAAAACTCTCTCTCTGGAATGGATGTGCTCCTTAACTTATACATTCCCCTAACATATATTTTATTCCTTCCTTTGAGGAAACAAAGAAGCTTTTTCCTTCTGGAATCCTTCCAACATCAGGAATAAACTACATTTCAAGATTAATATCGACAGCAGCTTGACACATCATTCCTTATCTGAACTATATATCTAATGTAACATTTTCAGTGCATCAACATTAAGTTTTAGTGGTATGGGGAATACTTGTCATTGCCGTTCGCTGCCATTTTCTTTATTTACATTTTCACCCTTGTGTGTCTTTTTCTTTAACAGAAATTTGCTCTTCTGAAGGCTACTGGCACATGCCTAAGAACCAGTTCAGTGATGCATTTCCAGTAAAGAGATTTTTTTCCCCCAAATTTCCTTTAATAAAATGCTTTGGGGGTGGGGTTTTAACAGGTGAATTATGTAGCTGAATAATTGTACCAAAGAGTGGTGTGTGCATTTACACCTTACACCCGATATTTTCAAATGAGTCTAAGCGAGTTTGGTGCCTGAATTCATTAGGATTCTACACCGGCTCCATGGGTCAGAGCACTCTACAACCATGGGTTACAGAGCAGAATTTGGTCCAAAGTGATATGCCGAATTCTGAAAGGTGTCTGGACTTGAAATGAGAAATGACTTTTCCCCTCAGACAGAGACTGATTCTAATAGCTTTTCAAAATGACATTTCACCTGCTTTGTCTTCTGCAGTGGGCTTCATTAATAATTGAATCATTAATGACAACAGAGCTAAATTCCACTCTCAGAACTACACGTACATATTTCTGAAGAGCGAATTCAGGGAGGATTGTGTGGGCAAAAGTGCTCAACTGATACACGGTGGGATTCTCCGCTAATCCCAAACAGGTCTGATTCCTGATGCACAGCTCTATGGTGTCCCAGGTGGTGCAGTCATTTGTATTTCCGTTTGGCGAAGTGGTCCCCATCACAAAGACCATCAGAATTCTTTCAGAAAAGGTAAATACTAGAGCACTGTTATGCTTGGGAAGTGAGAACAAGCTTGAAAGTCCTGTTTCTGGAATGTGGAACGAATGTGGAAGACCTGGAGTTAACCAGATTATAGAAGAGAACCAAAGAGCATCAAATGAGTAGTTTAGCCCACAGAAGACATTATCACTTCTCAGGGAGACGCATGCTCACCATGACTCCATCCTCCAGAATTTGACTGCCAAGTCTGAGTTGCTTGACTTCAGGAGGGGTGTGTTTCAATCAGAAGGGAAGATGGTTTATGCAGAAG